GGCGAACGTTTGTTTCCACTTATCCAAACAATGCATTCAAACCTGGCTGGAAAGATCACAGGAATGCTGCTGGAGATTGATAACTCTGAGCTGCTACACATGCTGGAGTCCCCTGAGTCTCTCCGCTCCAAGGTGAGCTGCTTTAGACCTTGTGACTTCAGCCCTTAGGATTAGGGAGTGGGGAGAACTTGCACACCCATGTGTAACAGGCGTCTGTGGCCCCTGACATGTTTTACCTATGGTTGGGTCTGCTGCTATGAATAGTGGGTAAGCTGTCAGCACCAGAAGCCCAGGGATCATCTATATTCTGCCAGTGGGCCTGAGCACCAGAGAGGGGCCAGCTGGCTTGCCTGAGTCACTGACAACCTGGAGATTTCTCATAGGTGGATGAAGCTGTGGCGGTTCTACAAGCTCATCATGCCAAGAAAGAAGCTGCCCAGAAGGTGGGCGCTGTTGCTGCTGCTACCTCTTAGACGAGGAAAAACCGTACGTTTGGCTTTTTCACTTCCTGCCAGTTTTTGTTTGTGCTAGAATTCAGGGGTGCTCTACCACTGAGCTACATTCCCAGTTGTTTTTCCTTTTTATTTTGTAATGGGATATGACTGAGTTGCCCAGGCTGGACTTACACTTCAGATCTTCCCAAGTCTCTAGGATTACAGACATGCACCACTACCCCTGGTTTCTGCCATATAACCTGAAAACTTGGCAGGCTGTTACCTAAGCCTTTCTGTTATTAGGATCAGTTATTACGGAAAGAAAAATAATGGTTGTAAATTAAAAACTTGGAAGAACTGGGTGTGGTAGTGTGCACCCATAGGCCCAGGTACTTGAGATAAGGCAGGAGATTCACTTGGGCCCAGGACTTCAAGGCCAGTCTATAGCAACACTGAGAATCCCATGGTTTCCTCATGAAGAACACCTGGTCAGATCTTTATTAAGAATTAATGGGGGGGCTGGGAATGTGGCTCAGGCGATAGCGYGCTCGTCTGGCATGCATGCGGCCTGGGTTCGATCCTCAGCACCACATACCAACAAAGATGTTGTGTCTGCCGAGAACTAAAAAATAAATATTAAAAAAAAAGAATTATTGGGGGCCGAGATTGTGGCTCAGCGATTCATTCGCCTAGCACGTGCAACACCCTGGGTTCCATCCTTAGCACCACATAAAAATAAGTAAATATTGTGCCCAACTACAACTAAAAGATAAAAATTATTGGTGGAGCTGGGGATATATAGCTCAGTTGGTAGAGTGTTTGCCTTGCATGCACAAGACCCTGGATTCAATCCCTAACACCAAAAAAAAAAAAGAAAATCTAGGGGCTGGGATCCTGGCTCCGGTAGAGTGCCTGCCTAGCATGCATGAGGCACTGGGTTCGATCCTCAGCACCACATTAAAATAAAGATGTGTCTACTTATAACTAAAATAAATATTTTTAAAAAATAGTTATTGGTAGAGGTTGTTGCTCAGTAATAGAACACATCATCATTTGTAAAGCCCTGGGTTCAGTCTTCAATCCTTTATGCCCCAGTTACCTCATTGTCCTGAGATAGTGATCCGATATACAAGGAGTTTCATAATCAGATCCCAGCTGTAAGCATCATTTTGCTAAGTTAGCCCATTGAGGTTATGTGTGTACATACTGCGACAGGAAGAGAAATGCCTGGGTGTCCAAGATGATGGTGTAGTTGGAGAGTTACATAGGGTTTGTTCATTGACTTAGGCGGCCCAAGGACTCTGTAGGAAATTGGGTGAATGCAGCTTAACTAGGACTACTGGTAGGCACCTCCAGGTAAACAAAAGCCAAGAAAAATTATTTGAAAAGGGCAACAGCTGGTGTGTTGGTAGAAACTGGTTATCTTGTAAAGGGTCCTCAGCTATGCCAAGTTGAGGATACCTTTATCAGCCAAAAAAGATTTGCTAAAATTCTTTTCATTATTTGTGATGGTGTTTTCATTTCAGAGTTCAAAAGCCAAATAATAACCCCTGGTGGAAATCAGCTCAAGGTTTGAAGACTTCCTAGCTTGTCCTATGGACCTCAACGTCAAGAACCACAAGTTGCAAATTTATTAGGTCATTTTGTATCAAAAGGTCAATTATGAAAACGCCTAGAATTTTTCAATTATAAGAATATATTCTTCTGGGTTCTACTATAGCCCAGACAGTGTTAATTTTTTTTCTACTATGGGATTTGGTCATTACCTGCCTCCCCGTGAAATTGGTTTTATTTGATGTACCCAAGTCTTAAGTTTCGCAATAAAGAAAAAAAATCTCCACAAAACTGCCTCTGTGCTGCCCATGTCAGTTTTATTCAATAAATTCCAGTTTTTGCTGCATGTAATTTCAGGATGTGAATATGTTGGAAAGACCCTACTTATTCTGTTATTCAGCAGTTTAGGATTAGCTGGGTATGCAGAACAGTTTAATGTGAATTGAACAGAAAGTCCCATTGCATATGGTAGGATCTTATACATTTAGCAGACAACCTTGGGTCTGGCTCAGGAAAATCAGGGCTCAGTGAGGTTGGCACACCCGAAGAACTGTGATCTGCCTACAATACCCCCTTCTTCCCCTTCCTTTCTTGGACTGTTAACATGTTGGTGTCAACCTCCTGGTCAGTTGATCTAATTGCCCAGATTCTGCAACCAATGTTTCCACTAGTCATGGGAAAATGCTCAGGAGGTAAATTGTGGCAACAGCAAACAAATGCCAGTCCTCACTCAAGTGTTAGAGCATTTATTTATTTATTTACTTGCCCTCCCTGTTCCTTTCCTTGAACTTTCCAGGCTTTTTTCTTAAGGACTGATCCTAGTAACCAATTAAAAATACCCAAGGTAGATGTCCCCATTTCCTGACTGCCATCTTTTTGTGTGTGCAATGTGCTGAGCCAGCTCAGGTTGGGGGCGAGGCCTAGTGCTGGTTTCGGGCAGAAGAGCAGGGAAAAAGATGGCTGCCTCCGTGAGGGAACTCTGGAGGGAAATGCCCGAGTGTGGCAATATCTCCCAGTTGGTTTCTGGTTGGGCTAGTGCACTAGATGCACACCTCTGGCGCAGGCAGCTGCCATCTGGTCTCTTATAGGACCTTACTTCCTCACTAAGTGGTGCCTGCTAGTGCTACACTGAGCCCCAGTTATATACTCAGGTAGCTATGATCTGTTATGACCTCAGACCTCATCCCAAGCTCTGGATCCTATTCAGTTCATAAACAAATGCAGCCCTGGCGCCTTAGGAAAAAGTTTCTGAATAGTAGGGGAATTACAGAAACAGCCTCATGATACTGATTTAAGACCAATAGTGATCAGGGTCAGGCCAGGAGTTTGGCTAATGATCACTTCATCTGAAAAGGTAAGGGCAAAAATCATTTAATGTAAAAACCAGAGAAAGGGCTGGAGGTGTGGCTCAAGCGGTAACACGCTCGCCTGGCATGCACAGGGCGCTGAGTTCTATCCTCAGCACCACATAAAGAAATAAAGATGTGTCCACAGAAAGCTAAAAAAATAATATAAAAAAGCAAATAGAGCTGGACACGGTGGCACATRCCTGTAATCTGTTATTCCAGAGGCCAGCCTCAGCAATTGAGGCCCTGTCTCAAAAAATAAAAGGTCTTAAAGATGTAGCTCAGTGGAAAACTCCTTGGTTCAATCCCCAGTATAAAACAACATACACAGATTGAGCAGTCCTAATCCAAAGTAAAAATTCTCCAAAATTTGCCAACATGACACATTTATTTTGGATTTTGGAGCATTTCACATTGTGAATTTTCAGATTAGTCAAGCTCAAGTGGTAATGCAAATATTCCAAAATCCCAAAGATTGGACTTCTGGTCCCAAGGATTTTGGATGAGGAATACTCAAGCTAGAAAAGGTAAGAGGAGCCAAATGAGCAGTAGTGTACATCTATAATCCCAGTTACTTGGGAGGCGGAGGCAGTAAGATCCCAAGCTGGAGGTCAGCCTGGGCAATTTAGACCCTGGCTGGGGATATATATAGTTCAGTGGTTAGTGCTTGCTTAGCATATGTGAGGCCCTTGCTTCAATCTCCAGTTCCATACAGTGGGAGTGGAGGGGAATCAAGAGGAGGATATTAGAAAAATCTTAAAAGGTTTGGGTGTTGATTTACACCACCTGGTGGGTAGCTGTACTCTACCTGGGCACCAGAACCACTCCTTTTGGCAACTGTGCTGTTAAATAACAGTGTAGCAGGGAAGCTCAGCCTTGACAGTGGAGGCTTGGCCTCTGCTTACATGGGTATGCTTTTCTTCAATTGTTACCACAATTATAGTGCATGCTATTTGATCTTTTGTCAATTTCTGAGTTTTAGTCCCAGTTTTGCCATTAATTTGCTGTATGGATATTTAAACTCTCTAAGCCCAAACTGAGCCCAGTGGTGCACACGTAAAATTCCTTCTACTCAGGAGGCTGAGGCGGGATCCCTTAAACCCAGGAGTTCAAGATCAGCCTGGGCAACATAGCAGTGCCCCACCCCGAGAGAGTGAGAGAGGAGAGAGAGAAAGAGAGTAATTTTTAATATTTATTTTTAGTTCTCGACRGACACAACATCTTTGTTGGTATGTGGTGCTGAGGATCAAACCCGGGCCTCACGCATGCCAGGCGAGCACGCTACCGCTTGAGCCACATCCCCAGCCCTTGACACATACTTCTCTAAGCTTTCAGTTCTTTAAATCCACCCCTCTCCAAGGGACCTCCAGCATACTATATAAGTATTTATCCACTGAGCTACATCCCTGCTCTCAGTTCTTCAAATTTTAAGTAAAAAGGGAAGATGATTTTTTTTTTTGGGGGGGGGTCCTCCTACACCTGAGTTTTATTTTTACATTACTGGGGATTAAACCCAGGGCCTTGCACATGCTAGGCAGGTGCTATGCTACTGAGCTACACCCCCCAGCCTTTTATTTTGAGACAGGATCTCAAGAGTTATCCAGACTGGTCTCAAACTTGTGATTCTCTTGCCTCAGACTCCCAAGTAGTTGGTAGTATAGGTGAGCACCACCATGCCCAGCTGAGTTTTTTAAGGTAGTAATTCTAAATGCCCTTGGTCTACCCCAGTAAAATACATTTTTCCTGAGGACAAAAGCTATTCCTCCTTTAATAGTCACCTAACTCAGTAGTAAGGTCAATGTTCTGTACACAGTGCTTAGTTGGAATGAATGATTGTTGGAATGATAATAAACTATTTTACCTACTTTTCTGTACATTTTTTTGTTGTTTTTTCAATTTTAGGACAGGGTCTCACTAAGTTGCTGAGACTGACCTCCAACATAGAATCCTCTTGCCCCAGTCTCCTCAGTCACTAGGTCTATAAGCTTTGTAAACAATGGTTATCAAAATGCTTGGAAAGCAACTGAAGGCTTAAATTCTGTAGTGATAGAATTGGATACTCCAATGTTTAAACAGTTTAGCTGAGGGATGTAGCTCAGTGGAAGAGTGCATGCAAGGCCCTGTGTTCAATCCTCATTACTAAAAAACAAAACAAAAATTAGCTATGTTCATATATTTTAGTACTTAGGGATCAAACCCAGGGCCTGTGCATGCTAGGCTAATGCTCTACCACTGATATACACCTCTAGCTGATTCTGTAAAAACAAACAAAATGACTTTAATATTCCTGGAATCATTGTTGGATAAACCATGATCAATCTAAAAAAAATCAAACTTTTGCTTTCTAAATGGCATCTGGATGTGGCACATTTCCTGTTGTCCACATATTAACAATTCATTTCTACTTTTATAGTGAAGCATCAGGGGTTCTCTTTTGTTGAATTTGAGTTGACAGAGGCAAGAAATGTTTCCTGTTTGGTATTTGATTAAAGTTGCTAGGTTACAAAAGGTGTCTTTCTGTGGATGGGTATATACTTCCCTGGGACTAATTCTAATTTGCCTCTGCTAAAGGCAGGCCTTTAGGGCCTAAGTTTCTCAGTGACAACTCTCCTTGATTTGGAGAGTTGCTAGGAGGAAACTCCTCACTAATGTGTCCTCTTCACTGACGAAAAAAGTAGTGAAGAGTCCAATGTGGCTAATAAGCCATCAGATGAAAACCTCAAATCTTTATATTGATCAGTTCATGACCAGTTGAGGACATTTTCTAGGAAGACTCTTGAAGATAATAAAGAGAAACACCAGGCATGGTGGCATATGACTGTAATCTCAGTGACTCAGGAGACTAAGGCAGGAGGATGACAAGGTCAGGGCCAGCCTGGGCAATTAGTGAGACCCTGTCTCAAATTTTTAAAAGGTCTGTGGAGGTAGTTTGGTGGTAGAGGCAAGAACAAAGACTCAGTCTTCCAGAGGAGGGGCTGGTGCTTTCCACCCAGGGCACTTCTGATGTGAGTGAGTTGAGTGGAGAACTTTTGAGTTTCTCATCTGGGTTAGAAATACATGTGCTTAGGTTTTGTGTGTGTTCTGTGTGGTTTGTTTCGGGTTTGTGTGGTACTAGGGATGGAACCCAGGGGCTACATCTGAGCTACATCCCCAGTTCCTTTTATTAACTTTTAGACAGGGTCTCTAAGTTGCTTAGGTTGGTCTCAAGTTTGTGATCCTCCTACCTCAGCCTCCACAGTCGCTGGAATTACAGGTGTCTGCCACCACACCTGAACACGCACTCTGTGCTGATGATTTTTGTACCACTAGCCCTAGCCCTGACCTTTCACAAATTTCTGCCTGGCTGTCTCATAGGCACCATTAATAAAGCATATTCCAGTGGTTTTTCTCACATTTTACCGTCATCTTCTGTGTGCTCAGTCTTATTTAATTTTGCCATCCTCTAAATAATTACCCAACTCAGATATCTCCTGTCATCTTAGGCTCTTCATTATAATTCATACCTAAAGCAGTAACATATTCTGCAGTTTTATCTCTTAAATCCTCCTGCATCTCTCTTCCATTTGTTCCTGCCAAATGTTCCTATTATCTCGCCTGTGAATAATGATGGTATCTTTCTAACTGGCCCCCTGCCTCAGGCCTGCTCTCCTCCTATCCCTAGCAGCCAGAGATCTGACTGTATCCTTCTCTTCAAGCATTCTAGGGAATCCCCTCATCCATAGGATTGAGTCCAGTTCCACCAGAAAGGACAGAAGTCTTCCTATGTCCAGAGCCCTGCTCTCAGCCCCATTTTATATTCTAGGAAACAAGAGCTGGTAGACACCTGCAAGCCTCTGTGTTTATGCACAAGCCATTCCTCTCCCCCAGCACCCTCTCCAGCTTATTTTATGTGACTAACTCCTCTTTTTTCAAAGCTCAGCTCAGTCAGTCACTG